GTAGCATTTCTATTCATTTGTCTCCCAGGTCTGTCACTGCTGGTGTCGCCCCTGGCCATGTAGCATTTCTGATCATTTGTTTTCCAGGTCTGTCGCTGCTGGTGTCCGCCCTTGTCCATTGGCCATGTAGATTTTTTATTTATTCCCCAAACAGTTTACTGTTAGGTGTTCTCAATTCTTTCTTAAGATGTGTCCGCCCTTTCCCTCCTGTTTCCTTTTGTCTCCCTTCTTGTCTCTCTTCTTGTTGATCATTGTGTCCGTCTTGTCTCCCTTCTGTTACCTTTTGTCTCCTTTTTGTTTCCCTCTTGTTGGTCACTGTGTACGCCTCGTCCCTTCTGTCTCCCTTTGTCTCCGGTCTTGTCTCCCTTCTTGTGGGTCACTGTGTCCGCCTTGTCTCCCTTCTGTTTCCTTGTGTCTCCCTTCTTGCTTCTCTTTTTGTTGGTCATTGTGTCCGCCTTGTCTTTGTCTGCCTTCTTGTCTCCCTTCACTGTGTCCGCATGTCTCCCTTCTGTCTCCCTTTGTCTCTGGTCTTGTCTCCCTTCTGTTTCCCTTTGTTCTGTTTCTTCTTGTCTTTGGTCTTGTCCCCCTTGTTGTTGCTCAACATTTGTCTCCCAGCTGCTCTGCCCTGCAATCCATCACATTTGTCTCCCGGCTCTGGGCTGCGTGTCGCTTGCAACCCTTTACATTTGTCTCGCTGTGTCTACACTTGTCTCCCAGCTCTGGACTGCTGTGTCCGCCTCTGCCTTGCAATCCTTTGCATGTGTCCTCGCAAGCCTTTGCGTTTGTCTCCCAGCTCTAGACTGCTGTATCCGCCTCTGCCTTGCAATCCTTTATTTGTCACCCAGCTCTGGGCTGTATGTCGCTTGCAATCCTTTACATTTGTCTCCCTGTGTCTGCATTTGTCTTCCAGCTCTGGACTGCTGTGGCCGCCTCTGCCTTGCAATTCTTTGTCTCCCAGCTCTGGACGTCGCAAGCTCTAGTTGCAGAGTGTTCCGATTTGAAAAACACAAACTGTTTGGGGGTCTACGGTGGTGTCTTTTGTCTCCCTTTTTGTCTCCCTTCTTGTTGGTCATTGTGTCCGCCTTGTCTTCCTTCTGTTTCTTTTTGTCTCCGGTCTTCTCCCCCTTCTTGTTGGTCACTGTGTCCGTCTTGTCTCCCTTCTGTTTCCTTTCGTCACCCTTGTTGTTTCCCTTCTTGCTGGTCATTGTGTCCGCCTTGTCTCCCTTCTTGTCTCCCTTCTTGTTGGTTGTGTCCGTCTTGTCTCCCTTCTGTTTCCTTTTTTCTCCCTTCTTGTCTTCCTTCTTGTTGGTCATTGTGTCCGCCTTGTCTCCCTTCTGTCTTCCTTTGTCTCTTCCTTTTGTTTCCCTTCTTGTCTCTCTTGTTGTCCCCCTTCTTGTTGGTCATTGTGTCCGCCTTGTCTTCCTTCTTGTCTCCCTGTGTCTCCGGTCTTGTCTCCCTTCTTCTGTATCCTTTTGTCTCTCGTCTTGTCCCCCTTCTTGTTGGTCATTGTGTCCCTTCTGCCTCTTTATCTCCGGTCTTGTCTCCCTTCTTCTGGGTCACTGTGTCCGTCTTGTCTCCCGTCTTGTCTTCCCTTTGTCTCCGGTCTTGTCTCCCTTCTTGTTGGTCATTGTGTCCGTCTTGTCTCCCTTCTGTTTCCTTTTGTCTCCCTTCTTGTCTTCCTTGTTGGTCATCGTGTCCGTCTTGTCTCCCTTCTGTTTTTTTTGTCTCCCTTCTTGTTGATGTCTTAAAAAGTGGACTTGGGAATGCTTCGTTGTTGTCCCACCTGTTTGGGGTCTACGGTGGTGTAATTTGTGAGGGAATAGACAAGCAGGCAAAAATTCTCGGTGTTTGGACGAATAGTTTGAAACCGCATGAACGCAGCTAATGGCTTGATTGAAGCCCTGCTGAGGCTGCCGCCATCACTGCCGGGGCCAGGTGGTAGCTTCCTCCTGCCGCCCAGTGCGGGCTTGGACCTTCTGGCTGCTGGGGTCGCAGTCAGTTGCACAATTGCATTGGCAAGGTATCACTGTATCACGCCTTTTGCCCTGACCGATTACAGCTGTTAGTGTTGCGAATATGGGTGGAATGGTGCGATTTGTTTGACTTTTTATATAATGCTTTCGCAACTATGTTTGATGTCTAAATGCAACCCAATAAAGCATGTGGAGTGAGAGTTCATTTCCTTGTATTCCTTTTATTCTGTTTCGTTTCCTCCTAGACGAAGTACAAAAAGAATTGGGCTCGATGCACAACGGTGTTGATAGAGGGCTGGGCCGGGGGTTTACTTTGGGCGCAAACTTTGGATAACTCCAGGTGTAACATCTTTGGATATTTGTATTCAGTACTTTGCCAGGGCCATACCCGCACTGACAAGAATCGCCATGTTTTTGGTAATGTCTCCTCGAAACCATGAACTCTGGCCAGACTGAAGATGAATTTGGCACCCGGCTTGCACTTCTTTCCAAATCTTACAGAAAGTCTTCTGCCTCCCAATCCGCTTGTATGCGGCACATCAAAACAGAGAGTCTTGAGATTCCCTCATCATATGCGCAATGCGCGTGAAAGTGAAGACTGAAGTTTGTACAAAATCTTCGTGGGGCTACGTTAGCTACTCACCATGATTTGTACAAAGGCTCATCAACTGTGGGATGAAGCCAGGTCCAAGGGTCGCCCGTGCCGAGGGATGTTCGCAGAACACAGGCAATTTCTTCATGAGTCAAGGCGCTTGGGTTGTTTCAATTTTGCTCGCTGCAATTGCAATTGAACATTTGAAGAACGACTTGCAAGCATCCTTGTCACAACTTCTTTGTGACAGCGACCTGTGTTGCTTTTTGTTGGAAGGTTTGCCAGCGATGCAAAGTACCTCGACAGTCAAAAGCATGGAGCGTTGCCAGGGAATGCGCTGCACTGTAGTGTGTGCTTGTGCTTTTCTTTGGTGATTAGCACTGTAGTCACTGCTAGCAGAAAGGCCTGAGGACCAGATTAGACAGGATTCCTCACAATGTCCACAACAGTTTGCGCAGGCGCAATAAATTGTTGCCCTCCCCGCTAAGGTCCGTTCAAAGCTTCTGGAAGCTCTGCAAGTTGTCCGCCAAGCAGTTGCCCAAGCATTGCACAATTGAGCTTTTGCTGCGATTGCTAGCTAGCATGCAAGTCGTGTCACTATGCGCTGTATCAGAGTGCAACCACTGAGCTGCTGTCATGTAGTTCGTGCACTTTGTTGGCATGCCTTTAGGTAGCTTTGGCCTTGCGCACAGCCCTTTGCCCGGCGGCAGCTTCTACAACGTGGGCTGCTCAAGACAAGTCTGCGTCTGCGTGTCAATAATGTGTATGCATACATGCCCAGACAAAGAGCAGAACATTGTAAGATGTGAATACGTTTGAAACATGTGTATACTTTGCTGATAGTATCCACATTTTTATCAAAGAGGATGCAGGCCTTGTTGGATTTCAGTCTTTGGCGGAATGAGATTTTTTGCACCAGGGTTGGTGGACCTTGGGGAAGGGAACATGAACATCTGACTAATGTCAAGCCACGATCAGGAAGCTACAGTAGATGAACAATCAAAATTGAAGGAGTCTTTCAATACAAGGATTACAAATCAGAGGTAGATACTTTGTTGCTTACTTAATTTTCCCAATCGCTCAAACTATATATGGTTATCAATTTTTCATGAAGCACATAGGCTTTTCACCAAGAAAGTGCAAGTGATGTGTTTCTAGGCGCCTCTTCTTCTCGGAATTAAGTCTCTCCCAGTTTTGGCCTCCTTGCTTTGTGTAGCGGAAGACACCATAACTTAAGTTTCCCTAAAAATCTAGGAACCAAATCGTAAGTGCGGGAGCTATCCAGCGTCCTACCTAGAAGCTAACTTAGTCTAGTAGCTTACTTTTGCCTTACTTAATCAAGTAGGTGCGTGCTTAATTAAGTAGGGAGGGGGGGAAGAGCGGGCAAAAGAACATCTTTCCTTTAAACGTGCATCTGATTTCGGGTTCGGATCTTGGATGACTAACTACATATGGGTTGAGCTTGTGCTGGACTTTGGGCACTGATCAAGCACGATAAGGAAGTTCACCTGAACAAGTTACGGCGTCAACAAAAGACTCCAGGGCACAAAAGTGGTTACAGTGAACAACACAGCAATTGCAATCGTCTCCATTTCCAAAGAAAGAACTGCAGCTCCTGTAGCCAACCTCTCAGCATAGTCAGAACGTGCTTGGAGCCTGTGGAAAGCAGGTTATGTTTCTTTAATACATTTCATTAGCTGCGAAAAAGGTAGCACGGCGCTCGAAGTCCGTGAAGAGGTCGAAAACGATGGCACCACACGAGGTGCCGCGGCCGCGCCTTTTCTCAAGGCGAACGCCCACCCGAAGCTCGAGTGGGAAAGCGTGGGGCATGAAACAGTTCGAAAAAGCTGCAACCCAAGTGCACAGCGTGAACTTTACATGGAGGAAAAGGGGTCTCCAGGAAAGCTGCGCTCGAACCTATCAAGCCATTGGAAGACTCTGGTGCGCATCGGTGCCGCACCATCAGGATCAGAAAGATCCGGCGGAATGATCCGCAGGCTACACAAGCGGCAGCTGTCAACTCGCCTCTGAAGGCGGGTGTCTCTTCCATCAAGACTCGGGCAGTTCGGGTCCACGTGCCACTTGGCTCCGTGGCGGCACATCACCACACCCCTGTAGAACGGGCACTCATTTCCATGCTCGTCCATCTGGCGAAGGGCGGACTTGATGATGTCCTTTGCCTCATGGACCAGGGTTACAGCATCGTTCTGGCCTTGGATGGCCAGGTTCAAAGCCGCTCGGGCTTCACATGCAGCAAGGCGGGACTCCTCTGCTTTGTTGCTCCATCGCAAGATCTCTTGCTTGAGTCTCTTGACTTCTTCTCGAAGGCGGGCACGGACGAGCGCTTTGTCTTTCTGCACTCCAGCCTCTTGGACATTGGCGCGAACTTCAGGAGGTGCTCCATGGCTATAGCGTCCAATCATGAAAGCTGTGCTCAAAATGAGCACAAAGAAGGTGCACAGCATCACACCAAACCAGTCCATTTCAGCTCCAGCTTCACTTTCGGCATGTGTTGCTGATGCCAGTTGAGGGGCCATGAACAAAAGCAAACACCAAAACATCACATTCGGCATGCGACCGGTGAAGGGCTCTACCATGCGGCTCTCGACATGGCTCGGACTGTGGGAGACATACTTTAACTTTAGGTCGGTCCGCGCAAGCCTGACATTCTCAGGGAACAGGGCATTCCTGGAAATTTCTTCATTCCAAAACACTTGCTCATCGACAAAAACTTCATTCTCTGGGAGATGCTCGTCGATGGGCTCCAGGTGCTCTTCAGGGAGGTGGTTCTCCTCATCAGGCAGGGGCTGTGTGGGCACTTGAATGCTTTCAGCAAGGCTCTGTTGGAGCTCAGCTTTTGTTTTCTTCTTGGCAGCTTTGTAGGAGGGGTCCCAAACAAGCTTCAAACGACCGTGACGGAGTCGTTGTGCAAGAAGTGCTCTGGCCGACTCTTTTGTCAATCCGTCAGCCAGTTGGCGCTCCGATGACATCCACCTCAAGGAACCGCCGAGGGAAGTGAGGCGATCCTTCATCACACGGATCTCAAGCGAAACTCGCTTGTCAACCACAGAGCTTCCGACTCCTTCTCGATGATAGGAGTCGTAAAGGGCCTTGGCGTCCGTGATCATGGTGGGCGACAACAAGGAGGGAGCATCCAAGAGCTCTTTGAGTCGCTGGCGAGGGTCAACCAACAAGCTCCAGTAGATGCTGGCATGTTCCAATGCATCGCAAGCTTGACCACCGCTTTGTGCTTCGGCGCCCAATGAGGAGCGTGCAACTCTTGGCGTCTTCAAGCTGCGCCAATCCAAAACGTGGTAGGCTCCTTCGGGTCCATTGGCCTGAAGCAAAGCTTTGTTGACCATCAGGATCACATAGCCAGCTTGTGAGGCTCCGTCGCTGCGGGTGGCAAAAGCAGCATCAAAAAAACATACCATACAAAGTTCTGAAACTTCACCCAGGTGGCTGTACTGTAGACCAACATCAGCATTTTCTTTTGCAAAACGCAGCAGGCGATTGGTGTCGGCCACCGTCTGGAGCGTGGCCTTAGTGACATGACCGCTCAGGATCGAGGTGCTGCTCTGCAAGTGAGGACTGCTCTGAACTGCGGGCCATTGTAGTGAACCAAGAAGTCCTCTCAGCTGTGTCAGCTCACGCTGATTGAGCGCATCAGTGAGGCTGCGCTTCTTGTCATAGGTGATCGGTTTCACCTTTCCCATGTAACTGGTCTGGTTGAGGAGGAGGCCATCATCCTTGACCTGAATGTCACAACCACAGTAGGTCAAGGGCTTTCCATCATCACCAGTTTTCCATTCCCTGAAGTTGAAGGTACCCTTCCGCTTGGTGATGGTGTCGTTGTAGCACTGGGAGTGTGATGAACCGCAACCAAGCATGTCATCTACATGCATGATGACCATTCCACAAAGACCATGAGGTCCGAGCAGGTTGGAGCGCTCAGCTGTGGTGTCATACTCAGGGTTGAGGTCGCCTTCATAGATCAAGAAACAGCAGGGGTCTTGAGGATGCTGTCGGAGGCCCATAGCACTCAACTTATCAACTGCAGCCATGAACCAAGATCTTGGTGCGTCGATCTGGCCGTAGCAGGGCTTGAGAAGCAACATGCGGGTGTCAGCTGTAGCTCCAAGCAACTGCAAACACTCTTGAGGAAGCTGCGCCCACAACTTGCGAGTCTGAGGTCGGCCCTGTAGGAAAGCGGTTGCAATGTCTGAAGTCCAGATAGGCCACTGCATGGTGGAGGCCAAACTCAAAAGCATGGATCTCGACAACCTTGTGGTCGTGGGCGATGAGGTCGGGACAGTGCCTTCCCAAGCGTCGGGGTCCATGAAGCCTCTGACAATGAGCCTGGCTTTGGCTCGTGGACTGCCATCAGGATTCTTTGACCACTTCAGCAACATCCGACTGGTCAACGTCCGACTGGGCTCAGCTTCTCTGGTGGTCTCGAACTGCCAGACGTGGTTGTCGAAGAAGGATTGCAGCTCTTTGACCTTAGCCGCTTTGAAGGCTGCTCGCTCATCGGGAGTCATGTGGCGCTCGGAGAGGTTGTTCTTGTTCTTGTCTTTCTTGAAGCTTTTGGCATGTCGGAGTTTGGTCTCCTTGCCAAGCTGTCGTGCTCCTTGAAGTGGCGCCTTAGCAAACATAGCCATCTCGCGACGGAGGTCGCCTTTGATCTGGAAGATCGTGACTCCTGTCCATGAGCGATCCAGTGGAGTGGACACAGTGTAGCCATCGTCCGTCTGCTGAATGCTTTTGCCGTTGTTGTCGTACATGACGGTCACCCGAACCAGATCAAGCTGATCTGAGGTGAATGGATTGTCTTTTGGCAGTTGGTGTAGGCACATCTCAGATCGTCGAGGGATCACATGGTGGCGGATCAGGCATCCCGCTTTGACTTCCCAGAAGTCGCGGTCTCTCTTGTCGAGCTGGAAGTAGCCATTCTCATATGTCCAGCCTTTTGGAAGGCAATTGGCTTCGATGCCTGAAACTTGAAAGGCATGGTTCAGTAAGGCATGATCGGGCGCCTTCTGACTTGCATAGAGAGCAGGATCATCCGAAGCAGCAGGCGCTGCCGATACTTGGGCTGGCGCTTCTGCGGCTGCCGCTGTTGCTGGTGTGTCATGTTCTGTCCTGTCTTGTTCTGCTTCCGCTGATGCTGGTGTATCATGTGGTGCCGTGTTGTATGGCTGTGGTGACCCAATGCGCTGTCTTCGCATGGGGCCAAAGCTCAGGGTTTCTTGCCTGTTGAATCGTGCTCGTCTTTGTTGAAAGGACTCGGCATCAACTGTTTCGTAAAAGGCTGCCGTGGCAGGATCCAAGGTGGGTCTTGGCATTGGGGCCTGTGGTGCTGTTGCCACGGCTAGTGGTGATGCAGCGTGTGGTGTGGCTGCTGCGGACGGTATGGTTGGTTCTTCGCTGGGTTCAACCACAGTAGGTGCTCGTGAACGAGACCTAATAGTGGCTGGTGAACCTGATACAGCGATCTCGGCCTGGGCCAAGGGTAACAACATGTTTGGTTCTGCCGACACTGGTGGTGGTGGTGGCCTGGGTGATGTCGGCGCAAAGCTAGAGTGTGCAGGTGATGTTGGCTCATACTCATCATCAGGCACGATGATCTGTGGTGGTGCGTCTGCTGTCGGCACTGGTGGTTCCAGTCGGAAGCGATGTCGGGGAGGCTCATCATCTTCTTCTTCCTGCAAGGGCCCGTC